GCTGACGCACGGCGGGGCCGCGGCTGGGGGGCCGGGAGAGCCTCAGGCAGCGGGGATGTGGGGGCACACGTGGGCTACTGGCATGGCACAGAATGGCTCCCCTCCAGCTGCGGGCCAGGAGCAGCTACACCGTGCTGTGGGGCAGGAATGGCCATGCCATGCCATGGGGCAGGAATGGTTGCACCATGCCATGCCATGCCATGGGGCAGGAACAGCTGTGTCATGATATGCCATGCCATGCCATGGGGCAGGAATTGTTGTGCGGTCCCATGCCGTGTCACACTACACCGTGGGGTAGGAATGGCTCTGCTGGGCCATGCCATGCCACAGGTCAGCAGCTGCCTGTCCCAATGTCTGTTGCGGTGCCAACCCACACCACGAAGCCACCAGGCAGGGCAGCCCCCGACACTCTGAGGCCACCAGCCGGGTCAGAGCAGGGTGGTGGGTCCCAGGTCCCCTCCCCGTGGCGCAGGGCTGGCCTGTGCCCACCTTGTCCCCAGCTCGGTCCCTGTCCCCATCCCGTTGGCAGGGGCTGCTACAGGAGGGATGGGGACGATGGTGCCAGCAGGGCCAGGTAAAAATAGCCCCATGGCTGACTCCAGCCACACTGGTTGCCCCAGGGCTGCACAGCACAGACACATGTGTCATGGCGTGTGCCCAGCCCTCCGCCTGGTGATGTGCCACGGCCACAGCCCTCCCTGCTGTTTACCCCAGGACACAGGTCCCCACAGCAGCATGGGTGGCCTGATGCCAGCACCCCCTGTCCCTGTGTCGCCCTGTGTCCCTGTGTCCCCATATCCCCGTGTCCCTCTGTCTCTTGTGTCCATATGTCCCCCCTGGCCTTATGTCCCCATGTCTCCCATGTCCCCCTGGTCCTATGTCCTTGTGTCCCTGCTTTCCCGATGTCCCCGTATCGGTGTCCCCCATGTCCCTGTGGCCCCTGCCCAGGCCCTGAGTCCCCTGTCCCCATGTGTCCCCTGTTGCCGTGTCCCCCTACCCTGGGCCGTGGCACTGCGGGGTTACCGGGGGTCACCGGGGGTCACCGGACCCCAGCCCCCTGCAGTACCGCCCCGGAGCCTCCAGCCCAGGGGGCACTGTGCACTAGGGAGCGCCCCGAGGAAGTGAGCCGCTCTGCGCCGCGGGAGGCCCAACTCTGTGGCGCCGCGCTCCGGAACGAACCAAGCGGGCAGAGATGCGGGGGGAGCGAGCGGGGGAACGGGGACAGGGATTCCACCCGCGGGGCTGCACCGCGCCCAGATACGGCACCGATGGGCACAGAAGAGAGGAATAGTGGTGCAGATTGAGGGAACACGGCCTCCTCTGACGTAGGAAGCGCTGCCGTTTTGGTAGATGGTCTGTCCCGACGCCCCCTATGTGGGTGGGCTGCCCCACTTCCCTCCTCCCCGCCGTCAGATGGTCGGTGCCGGGCGGTGAGTGCGGGCTCGGGTGGCGGCGCGGAGTGGGCCGCGGTCGCGGGAGGGGTTGAGGGGGACTGGCCGGGGTCCCCGAGGCTTAAAGGAGCTCTTTGAGGGACAGTGGGGTGTAGGGAGGCCCGGACTGGCACCTCTGGGCCTCTGCGAGGTGTGTGGGGAGCACACCGCGACGCCTGTGTCCCTGTGGGGTGTGAGGGGGACAGACCATGACACCTGGGTCACTGTGGGGTGTGAGAGGGACAGACCGGGACACCTGGGTCCCTGTGGGGCGGGGAGGGCACGCACTGGGACAGCAGGGTTGGTAGAGGGGCTGTTACCCAAGCAGGGGCACAACTAAACTCCCCAGCACGCTTCTTTCCCTGCAGGACCCGCTATTGCACCCCCTCCAGCATCACTCCCACCATGAACTGTCGTGCAGAGGTGCTGGAGGTGTCAGTGGAGGGTCGGCAGGTGGAGGAGGCCATGCTGGCAGTGCTCCACACCGTCCTGCTGCACCGCAGCACCGGCAAGTTCCACTACAAGAAGGAGGGCACCTACTCCATCGGCACCGTGGGCACCCAGGACGTGGACTGTGACTTCATCGACTTTGCCTATGTCCGTGTCTCCTCTGAGGAGCTGGACCGGGCCCTCCGCAAGGCTGTCGGGGAGTTCAAGGTAAGGGAGCCCCGTGGGGACCTGGCAGGGCCAAAAGTAGGAGCGTAAAAACCTGTGGGCTGTGCTCTGTCCTCGCCTGTGAGGGGAAGGTCAGTCCCTGATTCCCCCATGAGTAGGGCCATGTGCTGTCTCGGCAGGACGCGCTGCGCAACTCAGGCAGCGATGGGATGGGGCAGATCTCCCTGGAGTTCTACCAGAAGAAGAAGTCACGCTGGCCCTTCTCAGATGAGTGCATCCCCTGGGAGCTTTGGACCATCAAGGTGAACGTGGTGAACCTGGCTAATGAGCAGGAGCGGCAGATCTGCCGGGAGAAGGTAGGCGAGAAGCTCTGTGAGAAGATCATCAACATAGTGGAGGTGATGAACCGCCATGAGTACCTGCCCAAGATGCCCACCCAGTCAGAGGTGGACAACGTCTTTGACACCAGCCTGAAGGACGTGCAGCCCTATCTGTACAAGATCTCCTACCAGATCACGGACTCCCTGGGCACCTCAGTCACCACCACCATGCGCCGGCTCATCAAGGACACGCTGGCTCTCTAGAGCCAGGTGCCACCAAGGCACATTCATCCCGCATGGTGGCACCTCTCTGGCAGAGACCCTGGCTCTTTGGGACAGTGTCTCTGCTTGGATCCCTCCTCTCTGCCTCCAGGAAGCCTCTGCAGGGAGCTGGACTTGGCCTGGCCCTTAATTGAGGATTGCTGCTGGTTTGGTTTGCATGGTGGGGTGCTCGCCCATCTTGGAGAACCGGCTCGGCGGCTCCCAGCTTGGCTGAGGGGTGGTGAGTCCTCGGGGCGAGAGCTGCTGGTTGGCGCGTGTGGCAGCTGCAGTGGCTCGTGCGGCAGCTGCAGTGGCTCGGCACTGGGCTCATGGCCCAGGAGAGCAGCACTGGGGATCAGCATGGAGGGAAGGTGGCATCCGATCCCTGTCTGGCCCTGCCTGAAGCCACTCTCCAACTCTGCACGGCACAGCCAGCACCAGCCTTGTTCCTTGTCACTGTGTGTGTCTCCTTGGCGGCACCCACATCCCTGGGACTGAGCTGCTTCCCTGCGGGGCCTGGAGATGAACTCTCTGCCTCTGCTGGGGCAAAAATAAAGTATTTCTGCTTTCACATGGAATCTGGTCACATCCTGGCTGTTGATGGGACTGATGTCCGTGTGATGGGAGGGAAATGGGTGCCAAAGCTGAGCTGGGGAACCCCACCACATCCCTGTGCCATGGGACTCACTGGCTGCAGTGGGGAGAGGCAGGGATGGGCAGTGGGACCATGGGGCAGTGCTGCCTACCCCCTGGGAGCAATATCTCAAGTGAGGCAGCCTCAGCTGCCCCCCAAGCACACCCAGGGGAGGGGACGGGGGCAATCCCCCTTATATGCAGGGCTCTGCACCCCTCCACGGCACCAAGGAGGGGCAAAGCTGCTTCCCCTGCCTGGGAGGGAGCATCCACCGGGCACCAGCTTCTCAGCAGAGTGAGGGGGAACGTGCAGGCGACTGAGACGGTCCCTGACATCACTTAAACCCTCCCAGTCTGTCACTGACCTGCCACCGCCCTGCACGCCTGCACTCTGCTCCTGGGGGAAGAAGAGGAGGAGGAGGAGGAGATGAACGCCAGTGCGCAGGCCAGCGCCTGGGGGGACGTGCGGATGGGCGAGGCTGCCCAAATCGCCGTTGTCCTGGTGCTCTGCCTCGCTGTCGCCTTCGCTGTCTTCTTCCTCGGCTGTAACCTGCTGCTGCAGGCAGAGAGTCTGGCCGGAGCCCTGGCACAGGAGCGACGGCCATCCCGTGAGGCCGAGGGGGCTGCCGAGAGGGTCTAAGGACCAGCCTGAGCCTGGCGGACCGATGGATGGACAGCAGCATCTTCGCCCGCAGCGTCTTCGATGGCACTTGGGGGACAGAGTGGGACAGCGCTGGGGGCCACGGCCTCCCCTGCTTGTACGGATGGATTAAAAGGCAACGGGGCCAGCGGAGCTGCTGCGGGGGCCGCTCCTGGGTCCGGCCATGGGCCATGGGCGCGGCAGTGCTGGTAATCCCCCCCAGAGAGGATTAGGGGAAACTTTTATTCCCTGTTTCAGGGCTAATCCCTGGGCTGGCAGGGCAGGCGCTTGGGGGAAGGAAGCCAGACAAGTGCTTTGCTGTGTGTGGGACCACATCCTGCCACCACTGCGCGGCTGGTGGGGGGGCTGGGGCTGCACTGTGCCCCTCCCAGTCCCTTGGTATCCCAACAGCAGAGATGCCAGGACAGCATCCTGCCTCCCCGAACCCTTTCTGCCCTTCTCCTAGGGATGCAGTGATCCCCTTCCTTCCATCCCTTCAGACCCTGCTGGCAGAGACGCAATGGCCACATCCTGCCCTCAAACCTTGCTGGAAGAGGGTCCCATACCCATCCTG